AGTGTGTGTGTGTGTGTGTGTGTGTGTGTGTGTGTGTGTGTGTGTGTGTGTCCACATGCACACAAGCATATGTGTGTGTGTGTTTGCATGTGTATAAAAAGAAAAGGAAGCCTAGTGCAAACAAGTTGGGAAGATTCTTCTGCCAGAAGATGCCCACGTTCTGTTGAAATTGACATTTCAGCCATACGTTTACAGATGGTAAACGTAGCAATTTGAGTCATTTTTTTTAAAGTTTTAAATAAAGAACATAGAACAGGATGTGGCGTGCTCTGTTACAAAATGATAGGGATATGTGACGCATTCTCTCACAGATGTCAGTGTATGTAGACTTCAGAGGAAGCAATTTGTGACTGGATATTTTAAAAAAGGCATTCAGCATCAAATTCTTTTTTAAAATTTCAAATCTCACACTGACAATTTTTTTTTGTCATATCTTTCTGTATGATCCTTACTTACCTGACTGCAAAAAATAAAGTTGCTGGACCTGGCTTCTTGGGCAAATCATGATCCAGAACTCTGTGGTCTAACTGTAGCCAAATATTCTGACCTCTGAAAGCATTAAAAAAAAATACAGTCAGGGACAAAATGAACTGAATTAACACAAAAGGGTTTAATTGAGAGTGAGGGAAATTAAAACAATAATAAACCACTTTGATTGCCAGGAGCTCTGATTCATCCACTATAGATTCAGTTTTTTCAAAATTATCCCAGGCGTTTTTCTCCTCAGGTCTAATTAATGGACCAAAATATGATTGTGATCAAGTGCCAAAAGCAAAAGGATAGTAGTCCTCACACACCCAATTGGTTCAGCAAATGTCAGAGCAACTGGAGAGTGTCAGTCTTGCCGGTCACCTGTGCCATAGGTTCAAAAGGTCAGGAATCCAATAGGCTTGAATGTGGCACATAGCAAATGGCTGCTTTAGAGTTTAAGTTTTGCTTTTCCAGTTGAGGAATCTATTGCCACATTACTCTCAGAAAATTGTTAAGGCTTCAGCAACACCATATTTTTTAGAAAAGCAATTCAGAATCTGTACAAAGGAATCAGCTGTCATTTCTCGGTCTTAGTCCGGCTGCAATACTAAAATCTGATGGAAGGAAAAAAAGACATTTTATTCTAACCCAGCTTACCTCAAATTTGTGCCCCTCAGAGTTTTCTATCTACGTATGACTAATATTTTTGTACCACAACTTTTGCCACAATGGCATAAAGTTAACCAAAATACAATAAACCCATACAAAGAGAAAAACAAACAAACATTAAAATGATATTTCATTGAAATTGATTGAAAAGAATAGTTTAAACTAAGGGATGTATCTTAACACCTTTTTTGCAGGTCAAGAAAATGAGGGCCAATCATATCTCTGGAGGGATTGCATTCTGTAATTAAATGAGTGGCACAGGAGTGAGACATTTCACACATGACTGAAAAAGAGGTGGCAAGTGGAGTGAGGGCATTCCTGTAGATCCAGACATAAGGTGACACTCACAGTCCCTTTGGAGGCAGGCCCCTAAGCTTTTTATGGATGAAAAGATGTTGAACTACTATCCCCATCAACCCCAGCTAACTAGAGATGACACGTGTTGTAGTACAACATAGCCGCCCAGAGTAGATTTCGGTCTAGATGGGCAAGGCACAAATTTAATAAACAAACAAACAAACAAACATATCTGGTGTACACCTGACTAGGCTTAACCAACCCTTTAGAACCACTTTTTGATCTGGATTATAATGAATTTACATGAGCCTCTCTGGAGGGAGAAAACTCCTGCAGAGAGAAAGTGTGTCCTTACAAGCAAAGAGCATTACTAACCATCACTATTCACTGACTAAACAAAATCGCTCTCAGTAAGTTCTTGCCACAAGCACTGTTACTGCCTTTTGTATTCAACAAGAACAAAAGAAACATAGTACTGTAGTGTCTTATGCAGAGGACAAGTTTTGATAGGCAAGGACGCGACTGCCCTCTGGAGGCTGCAAATTTAAACTTAAAGTACTTGCAGAATAGAGAGGTGCCTCTTCTTAGACACTTTCAGTAATTTACCCAAACAAAAGCTAATTAGTGTTGGTTGCATAGCACAGCAGATTCTGTAAAAACTCAACGTGTAATTTCCACAAAATAACTAAATATAAATGCTAGTAGAATAGAGGAAGGGGGAGGGGAAGAAGAGATATTATCAGAGAAGCTTTCTGTGTGAATAACAAAACAAAATAAAGTACAAACATATCCTCAGTGATATTTATTAAAAGAAAACATTTTCTAATGGTGGAAAAAAAACCAAAGGCACTTGCAAAAACTTTCCTCTCTTTTCCGGAAATGGTTTTTCCAGGTAGGAGCGGAGCTACGCTATATACATTGATGAGGACACAGAAAACTTCAGAGGTGATGAACTTTTAACAAAGTTGATAACATCTAGAAACAGGGCATCTCGCACTCGCATAGTGAAAATGCTTGTTATAAACAGAATATATATATATACACATATATAAAATATATGCATAAACATGGAACCAAAGATGCAGCTTTGAGAAATGGGTTTGGAGTAGAGATGGAGATGAACTAAAGTATGAACTAAAAAAAGTTTTCATCTGGCTCTTTATTTCAGCAAAATGGATGGCCTCACCCCTTTCCCACTGCCCCATTGACTCTCTTCATGGTCTCACCACTTCCTCCTCTTCCTTCTTCACCACTGCCATTTTCAGAGACAGCTGGCCCAGCTCCTGGATGGGAAGCCAGGGGTGGCTAGCTCTGCTAATGCACTGGCCTATCAGCCCAGCAGTGGTGGCAATGCAATGGCACAGGTGCTGCACCACAACCAAGGAAGGTAACTTTCCATACCAGGCATGAACCGAAAATTAAACCATTTCACGGTTCGGTTTTCTGGTTGGTTTGTGGCCAAACATGAACCATCATGAACCACCATTTTTCAGGTTTGTGCCTATCACTAGTTTGGATTCAAGAGGACAGGCAAGCATTTTCTTAACCTTTTCCTCTTAACCTTTCCTTTTTTGAGTTGCTTCACAACTCAANGGCATTTTCTTAACCTTTCCTCTGACAACTGCTTCACAGCTCAAACCTATCCCCCCCAAATCTCTTCTTCCTACTACAGAATTCCGCCTGCCTGTATGGGGAGACAAAAATATATCGGAAGTTCTGTGGGCGTGCAGGAATGGCTCAGGAGGAAATTTGAAGACAAATTCAGGAGAGGTCTTCAGTGTTGTAATGCACTATATGTCCCTTCCAGATCTGACTTCCCAAGCTGATAGTCCACAGGAAATGTTAGTAACACGTATATGAAAACTGCAAATAATACTGAGGGTCCACATGGCAGGATTACTGTTGCCTGTCCAGGCAGATTTTAAAGTGTTAGAGCTGCAGTAGAAGAGTGACTGTTCATTAACTAAAATACAGTATTTATATCCCAGCTTTGTACCACACGAAAGGCATATTACAAGCCACAATAAGTGAAAATTTAAAATAGTCAAAATATAAAACGAAAGACGCAACAGACTTGCTAGCACTTGGAAAGATAGGTATAAACAAAGGGCAATATTTTCAGCTGGAAAGAAAAAGCAAGCAGAGAGGATACCCCTCAGGTTTTCCAGCACACTACATTCTACAGTCCGGAAGCGATGCTGTGCTGTATCCCAAGGAACAGCATCTCAAATACAGGAGGGACAGAAAGCAGGGCATCCTTTGTTAGCTGAGTTATGCTGGCAGGATCTTACAGAATGAGGCAGACCTTATAATATCCTAGTTCCAAACTATTTAGGGCCATGAATGGAGGAACTGGTAGAAAGTGAAGGAAGGATTCCAGCAGATGAATATATCATTTCAAGCCCCCATAAAAAATTTAAGGAATGAGAGACAGAGATGGCAGAATAAAACATTTGCATGGAATTGCTTTCAAGTCTCACTGGACCTAATAAACGTGTATCACGTACCGAAGTTCTTAAATTGAATAAACCTTCTGCTTTAAACATACAAATACTTTAGGGATCTAAAATAGGTGTCCCCTCGTATCTGCAGAATCAGTACCCACAGTTTAAGTTATCTACAGTTTACCATAGACCTATACATAATGTACAAGAGGGGCGGGTCTTATGCTCTTCTGTCCTGCCCCTTGTGGCTTTTATGTTCTAGATGGAGTTTGCTACTATCCACAGTTTCAGGCATTTGTGAAAGACTGTGGAATATATCCCCTGTGGATACAGGGGAGAGGGACATCTGAAAGACAGGAAAATACAACGTATAGGCTAGCCTGTTACTGTTACAGTGGTGCCTCACACAACGCTGTTAATTGGTTCCAAAAAAATCAACGTTGTGTGAAACATCGTTCTGTGAAACACCATTTCACATAGGAATGCATTGAAAACCGGTTAATCCGTTCCAATTGGAACGGATTGCCATCGTTCAGTGAAAATCCCCATAGGAAACATCGTTGAGTGAAACAATGTTTCCTATATTGGAATGTATTGAAGCCGACTCAATACATTTCAATGCCTTTGCGAAGTCCTTTTTCGCTCCTGTAAAAGTGTCTTACAATGTTTGGACGCTGTTTTAAATGATTGCAATGGTTAGTCCACCTCCTGAAACCTATGCAAACTGATTTTGGTGTTGTTCTGACACTTCGTTAATTTATGATGATTTTTTTAATTTTCTCCATTGGAAACCATTGGATGGTCTGTCTAATGGTTTCCAATGGAAAAAACAAAAAATCATCATAAATTAACGAAGTGTCAGAACAACACCAAAATCAGTTTGCATAGGTTTCAGGAGGTGGACTAACCATTGCAATCATTTAAAACAGCGTCCAAACATTGTAAGACACTTTTACAGGAGCGAAAAGGGAGATCGTTGTGTGAAAATTCCCCATAGGAAACATCGCTGTGTGAGGCAGCAAATTTGACAGAAAAAGGCATCGTTGTGTGAATTCATCGTTGTGTGAGGCACTCGTTGTGCGAGGCACCACTGTACTTTTTTACTTGGTATATCCCTGAAGTCAGCTAGTTGTGGAAACTGAAAAGACATTGCTCACATAAAGGTACAACAAACAAAACACTTATCTATTTGGGTACTTATATCTAACTAAATAAATGCTCATCATTATACAATATTAAAAAAGAAAGCAGTATCATTATTTCGCTCCTAAAATTAGAAAATGGTCAAAAAAACACACCAAAGTATGTATACTTACGTGTCATCTATGAATGTTATTCCAAAATATTCTTTTTCTTTGAGATTGAAATGTGAAGCTACCAGGTCCAACAATTCCCGTGACAAAAGCTTAGGCTGTCAGAAAGAATGATAGGATTAAATAACTTTGTTTCCTTCCTGATTTTTGTTCTTGATTTTATTTCATTAGTTCCCAGAGGATCTACATTTTAAATCCCCTCCTATACAGATCTCTCTCCTTATGCAGTCCAAGTTTAGTGACCTTTGAGAAATAATACTTGGTGCTTATAATGTGTTTCTTGTATGTAGTAGTACTATATTCTTTTTCTAAGGTGGCATATGGCTCTCTAGATATTGATGGCTAGAATTCTTGTAATCTTTCACCACAAACTACACTGAAGAAGGTTGATTCCCAACAAAGTCCAACAACATTTCCACTCTTTCTTTATATCCATAATTTTTCTTATCTATAATAATAAGTAACAACAGCAGTGAGGGAAAACATATAAAATGGATTAACTTCATAAAGGAAACCACTTGCAAGACCTGTGCAGGGCTGTTAATGGCAGGATTTTTTCGGAGGTCATTATTTCATAGGGCCATCGTAAGGCAAATAACTTGACAAAAGAATAAGGCAGGTGAAGGAATGGCAGTATTCTTGGGTTGGCTGTATTTATATCTTGCTTGTCTTGCAATATGGTTGCATCCATAGCTCTCTCCCTCCCCCTCTATTGTCACAAGAACTGTGTGTGGCAGGTAATGCAAAGAAAGAGTGACTGGACCACGGTGGCCCTTTGAATGTTATAGCTCACTGGGAGCTAGAATCCAGATTCTCAAGTCTCAGCTCATCACTCTAACCGCTACACTACTTATAGATGTCTGTGGAGGACTCTTGCCAGGAATGTACAACATGTTTTCACTCCCCAGGGTTATCTGGATTACCCTCAATTCAGGTATGGGTAAGAATATTCAAGAGGGAGGTTGCCACTGACACCAGACATGTGTGATTTGGTAAATTTCATTTGGTTCCTACAGGGAAGAAAAGAGATAGACCTGCCTGCCCTATGTGACCCGTTCTGGGTAAGATCACTGCTAGAGATGCCTATAATTTATTTATTTAATTTATATACCACCCACACTACCCAAAGGTCTCTGGGCAGCTTACAACAATTAATTAATAAGGTAACACGGGAAACATAGGTACACACTACTCTTGAAGCTTATTGTATCTGCTGTTCTCAGGAACATTACAACCTCCTTAATGCTGGGTAGGTTACTTATCTAGCTAACCTGCAATCATCTATTCTAACTGGCAGGATCTCCCCAAGGCTTCAAGAAGAGATAGAACGTTTCCCCAGTACTTGCATTCAGGTCTTTTAAAAACATGAGATGCATGGTATGGAATCGACTTGAGATTTTTCGCAGGAAAAGTATGGGCACTGGCACTGGATTATGTCCCCTTAGAGGCTCTGCTAATGCTTTACCATAAGTCTGAGCTTTGCTGCAGTTCTAACAAGGAAACACACAATTCTAATTTCTGATTTTCTAGCATCACCCACACCATCTTTTCTGGCACTAGTCTAATGGTTTGTGTAGAAGCCTAAGGACTCTTATCCAATGAAAGGGAAAGATCAACCTCCACAAATACAGAATTTCACCATAAAATACCTATCAGAATTGGGTAAAATTTTAATAACATTAAACCAGTTGGATTTTTAACAAATTATATCAACTGATTCAGTTAAAATTATTCCAAATGACATTGGCTGAAATCCTGTTGCTTGGCATAGTAAATTGCCACTATATTAGGCCCATAGAATCAGTAGGAATTTGGTAAGTCAACTCCTATTTTGGTTCAATTGCTAAGCAACAAGATTTCAGCCAATGTATTAAAGACAGATCAAGACATCTCCTGCTAGCATTATCAAGCAGCAGATACCATGAAACTGAGACATAATTCACTCTACTAGTCTGATTCCTGCTCAGTGTTAGTCTTGCAGTACAGTAGTAACCCTGAGAGATAGCCATCCAGCCTCTAGTAAAGAAGAGCCCATCAACTCTTTCCATAGTTCATTCTACTGTCAGACTGCTAGCACCACTAAGTTCTCCTCATAACAGAGAATAAGTCTGTTCCATCTTTTATACAATAGTCCTCCAGATATATTCGTGTAGGCTTTCACGGCTGGGATCTAATGGTGGTTGTGGGTTTTTCAGGCTCTTTGGCCATGTTCTGAAGGTTCTTCTTCTTAACATTTCGCCAGTCTCTGTGGCCATGGGCATCTTCAGAGTCCTCCAAATACTGAAAAGCCCTATTATAACTTCCCCTTAGTCTTTTCATCTCCAGGCTAAACACAGAACTGAATGTTCTTTTAAATGGAACTTTGTTCCTACTTGCCCATTCTGGAAACACTTTGCTTTTGTTGATGTTCTCCTACGGTGGCCAAAGTTGGATACTGTACTCGAGAGGCTGTCTGATCAGTGCTGATAAGCCCATCACCTACTAGAAATACAATGATGTCAAAAAACCCTAAGGTTTCACCTGAACCAGCAGCTCTAGCTTCCTGTCATCCAGAAGGTGTACCTGGCAGTGTCGCCCTTCTGTCATCTGCAAAACAAGAGGGACACTGTTAGCAACAAAACATTGTGGATTGTTATCATTTGGACAATTTCTAAGAATACCACTGAATAGTTGAAGCTTGCATGTCTATTTCCTAAATTAAGATTTGAACTTCTCCAATGTACACCATGTTACTATCCTGAACACATCAATCTTATCTGAATTTGGAAGCTAAGCATGGCCAGATTTATTTTATAACGGAATGGGAGACCACCAAAGATCTCCAGGAGACCCAGGAAATACTCCCTCCGAAGCACCGCTGCCAGCCAGGTAAGCAATACTAGTCTACATGTACTAATGGTGTTAACTCAATATAAAGCAACTTCCTACATTCCTATATCATTCAAATTGCACACATAGCATCCTCAAATACTGAGTGGCACCAGTCCTCCAGGCTTGTAGGCACACGTCTCTGCTGACATCATTTGGTACCTGGCCCTTTTAACACTGATGTCAGGGATTGAACCTGGGGGCCTTCTCTATGTAAAGCATGAGCAATACCACTGCATTATACTTTCTAATCCAAGACAGATAATTTATTCTCTGAGTAAAAATGCACTGTGTTAAGCTGATATTCTCTTTTTATATACATTTGTGAGGTGGATTTTTAAACCTCTGTTTGCTTACATATGTGGTTAACACTTTGCTTTTCAGAAACTCCCGAAACTCCCGTACTTTTGAAGTCTCCCAAAAAGACACAGATAACCTCAACTTTAACATAAGGACTAAAACTCTGCATGTCTAGAAAACTACTTTTGAAGTCAGCACGATTGTTAGTCTCCCAAAAAGACACAGATAACCTAAACTTTAACATAAGGACTAAAACTCTGCATGTCTAGTCATAATTTCAACCATGCTGCTTGTATGGTGAGCTCTTTAACTACAAAGGGGATGGGAAGGCTTATTTGACCTGGGTCAGATGCATGCCATCTGTTGTGATAGACTCCTTAGGAAGGCAAAAACTAGAATTTAGTAAGATTTTTAAAAGCTCACAAGCACCACAATTCATTTTCCCTGGAAGGCAAAAACTAGAAATTAGTAAGATTTTTTAAAAGCTCACAAGCACCACAATTCATTTTCCCCCCTTCCTGCTCTGAGGTAGGAAAAAAAATTCTTTGAAGTTTTACAATACCAAAAGCTCTAGCTTTTTTTTCCTAGAGGATGCAGGAGTAGCACTTAGAAAGCTGTTTAGGCTCACCTAAGCTTCTGCTAAAAGATTATAGAACATAAAGATGGCAACTTTCAACTTGTTGCCAAAGCACACACCCATTCTATGTGTCACTAGCAGTAGTTATTAAATAAGATCTTATGGCAACATGATGATGAAGAAGAGTTTAAAAGAAGAACAAACTATCAAGAAAGTAAAGTTCATTTCCTTTCTCTAACCTCAGATATTTTCAGTAAAACCTGCAGGATATTTTTTGCGATTCCTCTACAATAGAGGCATCCTCTTGCACACCAAGCATGCTGTTAGAATCAATATTTTTAGACTCCACCGTGTCATCCAGTTATACACCAAATGTATTTAGGTGGTATAGAAACAGGAAGCTTCATGGAACAAATAAACCTAATTTAGATTTTTAAAAAAAGCAAGCTTCAACTTGCATAGAATAAATACAGAATGGATTCTGCAATAAGTCATTTCAAGTAGCAAGAAGCTGTTTTCAAACTACAGACGTTTGATTCATTCTCTGCCTAGCACTGTGATTTTGTTTTCTCTAAGTAAAAACCTATTTGGTTTGGCAAGCTACATCTCTCACACATTCTTCTTTTATTACAGGTCTCTATTTTAATTCTCTAAATGCAGATCTATTTCTAAAAATTTAAAACCTTAAGAGATATTTAGAAAGAAAGAAATATATATGAGAACTATACCCACACACCCACACACCCACACACAGTATAAATTGTTTGTGGGTTAGTTAGCGTCAAAGTGGTGTCTTTTCCATTCAGTTCTCCCATCTGTATCTACCTCTACTCCTTCCATTCATAGCTTTCCTCTTGCTAGATCCTCACAACCAAATTCAGTTGTCTTTCTTCTCAGTTACCTTAGCAGGCATATCCTAGTTCAGAGGCATAATTCCTGCAGTTTGCAAGCCTATCTACACTTACCAGAGGTTAGCACAACTGAACTCAATGAGGCTTACCCTTTGAGTAGGAATACAGAGATCATTTCAAGACATGTGGAATTGTGGCCTTGAATCACCACTGCTGGACCATTTTGATATTTTGCTGCCTGGAGCAAAGGACAAGATAGTGCGCCTTCCAATGCCTTGTACAAAAGCCAACTGGATTGGCATTTGAATCTTACTTCAGCATTAGAAATTCTGAGGGCAGCACATTCCTGGCCCATATCTGAGGGCAGTAGGGTAGGCTAGGACTGACATTTTCAATTTTCTTTTGGCCATGGTCATAAATATGATACACTTGTCCCTATGCTGGCTTGGGCATATCGTGAGAATGGCTGACGGTCAGATTCCAAAAGAACTCCTGTATGGAGTTTCAATCTTAAAGGAGAAGTTCTATCCTCCAGTTCTCCCTCCTGACCCCTCCGTCTCAGGAAGAAGTCAGTGTTTCCATTTCTTGTCATGCAAACAGGAAATACAACTGCAGAATTCTTAATTAGTGACAATTTGCTGCTGAGATTAACACCTGAAATTGTGTCAGAGGGTGGAAGTAATGGGATTCTGTTCAATTTTTAAGGACAAGAGGATTAACATTAATATTCTAGATAGCAACTAAAAGCCAACTGGATTGAGTGGATTTTTTTTGCTTTTTTTGAACACCAGCATTGATTAGGTCAATCATGTAATCCTTAAAAGGGAATCCTATTGACTTAGAGCCACCACTGACAAAGTCTTGTATACAATGTTTTAAAATTAATTCACTACTTCTTGCATTAAAATCGCATATATCATTTGGTATTTTCCTTTCGCTAGCATCCAACCACTCTAAAACAGCCACCAAACATTTATCCTTTCATTGAAGATTTCGAAGCAATTGTGGCTATCAAGAGAAATAGGGGAAAGTGGTATTCAATTAAAAACATTTGAGTTATGGAATGGCAGTTCTTTCTCATCCATGCAGCAGTATCCTGTCCACTCAAAACTGAGCCAGAACACTGAGAGATCAGTGTCAGGCAGAAGAAGAACTGGGCTGCACTGATAGGACGTCTGCTCCACAGAGCAGGATTTCCCTAAGGTGTAAGACTCAAACTTCAAAATACAACCAAGTTCAATTATTTGGTCTTAGGAGAATGCTCCAGTATCAAGGGCATAAGAAGGAATAGAACCCCTCTGCTTTGAGACTGAAGAAGTTTCAATATTAAAGGAGAAATTCTATCCTCCAGTTCTCCCTCCTGACCCCTTTCAGCAAACGGGGGGGGGGTACTACAGTGGATTCATCTCCCTGAGTTCTAATTCTGATCTCAAGAGAGAGAGAAATGGAGGCAGGTTGTGTTGGGTTGCAAGGAAATGTAGCTGGATCCACAGCTGTCCCAGCATGCAAACATACCTCAATTAAAGCAAGACATTTAGATTTGTTCTGATGATGATCTAACTGAATTTACTCCCACTGCCTGACACTTACTTCCGAGTAAACAAGAAATATGCATATGAAGATGTGCTAAGTCTTGTAGGATTTTAGAACTATAACACTACCAAAAATTCAACTTAAATGCACTGCAACCCAAAATTATCTTATGTCAGTAAAATAAGAATTTATTATTGGACATTTTACAATCTTGCATGGTGCCTGGAGAAAGTGTGGCTGGGAGAGACCTTTCTGGGATGACTGTTAAGCTGTTCAGCTCTAACCAATAAGTTGTGCATCAAAGGTGCTGCAGTCTTCAGAGATCAGTGACTATAGATGGGGTCTTCCCCCCCACCCCAGGCTGTGCAATATACTTTCCAGGAACGTCAAACATCCTGTGCTCACTTTAGCAGCTTTTCAGCATTATTAATTATTACTTGTTTAAGCGATTTTGCATTTTTAAAATATTTATTGCTTTGATTCTGATGAGTTAGAGGCATTGAAAGCTTACATTGAATAATGCTGTAGAACTGTTTAAAATGGAAAACAATTAATGACAAATCCTGAATTGAATTTTTTTCCAAATAAAAAAGTGAACCGCTGTGAAAATTGACATCTCTGTTTGATACACGAATGGATTTACATACTTTAAAATTAGTTTCAAGATGACAGTGTGAGTGGATATATAGAACAAAATGCATAAGTTAGCTCCCATGGCACTATTTTCAATATACAGCTCAAAAGGTTTATGGGTTTGATGGGAGGATCATATACACCCTAATTTTGATTTTTTCCAAGGCTGGAAACCAAATGTTTCCTTGTTAAAAATTCCAGAAGGTACCTCTCCCATTCCTCCAGCCATTTACTGAAATCACTTAAGCTTCTTTTAGAACATCTCTCTCATTTAAGGATGGTTTATCTCATATTAGCTTAATCCTGTTACCGGATGAATGAACAAAAACCTTGGTTAATTTCACTCTTAATTGAAAAGGAAGAGTGTCTGTTCTACTCCAATAAAACTGAATTACATTTTGGTATCTCTATCTTATAGAAGATTCGTGTAACCAACATTCTACCAGAGGCTAATAGTATGCAGAACAATTTCATTTCCTTCCTCCAGATGCACATTTTAATGAGATGTTGTTGAACCCATGTAATAAGGATCTCTCAGCTAGTATCATAACCTAGTGAATAAAGCAAACTTTTATTCAGTCACTAAGTACTAAGGCACTAAATAGCTAGAATATCAACATATTTGCAAATTTGCCAGCTTCTGTCCCTAAGATACATAATCATTCTTGATTGGAGAAGCTTGTAAAGTCGTAACTCAGGTCCTATAGATTGCAATGCAACCCAGTACAAAAACCCAGATATTATAATTTCCAAATAACAACAAAACATGAAGAACAACCAAAGAAGGGTTATAGTCTTATTCTGAAGTGAATCAACTCAGTTCAACT